AATACGTTACAAATTTGTTTATTCAAATCTTTTAAACATTGTTTTTTTTTTAAATAATTCTCTAAAAATTAAGTTTCCAAAGTAAATAACGTAATTAAATAATTGTCTACTCTAAAGTGTTCAAATTTAATATTAAACTTATTTATTGGCATAAAAGTTTTTAATTAAAAGTGTAATTTTATAAATTAATACAGTTTGTAAATTGAGCTAAACTTTTGAATTCGTTCAATGATAATGATGTGATGATGAAAAAGTAAAGTAAACTTTAATTAACTAAATACGAAAGTAAAAATCATGGATTTGGAATTTTTTCATAGAAAATATCTACAAATTTAGTGCATTTTAATTATAATCAATAAAATTGAAGTATACGTTACAAATTTGTTTATTCAAATCTTTTAAACATTTTTTTTTAATAATTCTCTAAAAATTAAGTTTCCAAAGTAAATTACGTAATTAAACAATTGTCTACTCTAAAGTATTCAAATTTAATATTAAAGTTATTTATTAGCATAAAAGTTTTTAATTAAAAGTGTAATGTAATAATAATGTATTTTTTTTATTTTACTTAGAAATTTGTATAAAAAAAACTAGAAAATTATATTTTTTCGATAATACAAGAATCATGAAATATATTATTTTTTTTCGTACAATTTCCTAAATAAATATCCCTAAATAATAGTAAATTTAATAGATGAAACTTTTATATAAAAGCTAGTGAATTGGTTCGAATTTAAATGGACAATGATAATATTTGAAGTTGTTGAGAGCGAGCGGAGCTGAAGGACTAATTGAAGATTCCTGCAACTGATATGGAAAATTTTACTTAGAAATTTGTATAAAAAACTAGAAAATTATATTTTTTTGTTCAATAATAGAAGAATCATGAAATACAATTTTTTTTTCGTACAATTTCCTAAATAAATATCCCTAAATAGTAGTAAATTTAATAAATGTAACTTTTATATAAGAGCTAGTGAAATGGTTTGAATTGAAATGGACGATGATAATAATTGAAGTTGTTGAGAGCGAGCGGATAAATGTCTACTCTAAAGTGAATTTTGTTCAAATTTAATTAGTTTGAATTAAAAGTATAATTTCATAAATTGGAAAATTGTGATAAACTTTTGAATTCGTTCAATGATAATGATGTGATGATGAAAAAG